AGAGAAGGAGAGAAGGAGAGAAGGAGAGAAGGAGAGAAGGAGAGGAGAGAGGAGAGGAGAGAGGAGAGGAGAGAGCAGAGGAGATCAGAGCAGAGAGTGAAGAAAGCAGAGAGAGCAGAGTGGAGGAGAGCGGAGCAGAGTGGAGAAAAGAACAGAATGAGAAAGAGCAGAGTGGAGCAGAGAACTGAAATGTTTTTTGGCTTCCAGAGATCTTGTCAACTCGAACTGAAGTGTTTTTGGTTTCCAGAGATCTTGTCAACTCGAACTGAAGTGTTTTTGGCTTCCAGAGATCCTGTCAACTCGCCATGTTCACTTCGCCTTGTGGATCGCAGAAGTTTTGGTCTTCAAGCCACAGAGCCTTGTGGTTTTAGGTTTGGTGCAACTTGCTGATTTTGCCAAAGTCGTGTCCACGGGGGCACGAATGGAGTTTCGGAGAAAAAGACGAAGAGAGTGGTGGAAACTATCATTGCCTGACTTGCGGACACAAGATTGTCAACACACACAACGATCAAGAGGAAAAAAGCACCCAATCGATGCGGACACAAGATGTCGTGGAGAAGGCAGGGAACTTTGCCGTATTACCTACCTGATTGTGTCAACCCTGTCCAGTATGCTCAGGTGCTTTACTGGTATTGCTCGGATTGCCCACGTGGACAGATACAAAAAGAGGTCGGCCTGAAAGACAAAGCTTTTGCCAAGGCTTTGAAACGTTTTTGGGACATTTTGTGGCTGGCCGCCACCAAAAACATGGCACAAGAAAAACTGGGAGGACCCGGTCGCTTTGTGGCCATTGACGAGACATTTTTCGTGAAAAAGAAAGCAGCAAAAGGCGGGTTTCGTGGCCGGGCGACAGCTGGAAACAAGACCATCGTCATGGGCTTTCTTGAAGTTGAGTTGGAATCCAAGAAGGTCACAGGGAATTGTGTGCTCATCGAGATTCCAGACAGAGCCGCAGCGACCTTGAAAGCTAAGGTCAAAGAGCTTGTGGCAGCGAGGCTGGCTGTGGAAGGTGAACTTGTGGAGGCCTTTGTGGCAGCGAGGCTGGCCACTATATGGCAGTGAAGCTGTGGAAATGCCAGTGCTGGGGATCGGTGATTGGACAGCGGTGGAAGTAGTTCCAGGATTTGGACACTGCCCGAGGCCTGTTCCCACGACCACCATGGCATACAAAAATGGCAGCCCAGGGACAAACCCACCAGAGGACAATTCCCACCAGAGGACATAACCCACAAGGGAAGCAAACCCCCAACAAGAGAGTTCCCAGCACAGACCAGTGAGCCGAAGAATCCCACCTTTCTCCAGATCGTAGTGGGAGTTCTTGGACCTCAACAGCAAGCGCCAGATCCCAGTGGGCACTCTGGGCCTCAACAGCAAGCGCCAGATCGCAGTGGGCATTCCCGCGCCTCAACAGCAGCTTTAGATCACAGTGGGCACTCCCGGACCTCAACAGCAAGCTCCATATCGCAGTGGGCCCTCCCGGACCGCAACACCAAACTCCAGATTGCAGTGGGCACTCTCTACCAAGCTGCAAATCGCAGTGGGCACTCCCGGACCTCAATCACTCAAAGCACAACGGGTCCCAAACCTCAACATCGCACTTGGGCACCCCAGCAACACCAACTTTAGACCGCGGTGGGCACTCCCGACTCCAGTTCCACATTGCCAGACGTCAACAGTAAGCTCCAGATCGCACTGGCTACCCTCTGGAGCCCATGATTATTCCGAGCACGAGCCAGACTTGATGGCAGAACAAGTGTCAGAACACTGTGTCAATCCACATGTCCACCATTGTCAGGCGAACCTTTCAATACCAAATCACTTGAAGTAGAGTATTGTGTTGTTTGCTAAGTGCAGGCCTTCTACGCAAGCTCCTTTATTTGGTGCCATCATACAGTGTTTGTCGACTGTAGGCTGTGCGCGTTTGGCCAACTTGGTGAACTGCCGACAGTTTTTTGGGGAATGTGCAGGTCGAATCTGCCAAAAACATTTTTTTGCAAAGACTTGTCCGTTTATATGGGCATGCAAATTTGTGCGTGTTCGGCTCTTTGTTGGTGCTCGAATTTTGTGTTTCGCCTTGAATCGCCGCCATGTCTTCGCGTAGCAGCGGCCGTGCAAAGAAACCTGGTGATGAACGGAAGGGTTGCAAAACATTTTTTTTACATGCATCGCGTCATGTTTTTGAGAACAACTTATGATGATATTGCTTACCACACATTCAACATGCCGGTTGTTGTTTGTTTGTTTGTTTGTCTGTTTTTTTCGATAACTGGTTTGTTCTTCAAGTGGGATTCTGTCCGTCCTGCTTGCTGCATGCTCTCATGAGTAAGTTGGTGTTGTGTTGAGGGTGTTTGTTTTGAAGAGAACACTGTTGTTCTTCCCACAACTTAGCAGGAAGACAACTTGATGTAAGAATTGGAATTGGTGATTTCCTTGCACCAAATTTTTCATCAACCAATTCTTGCGTTTGTGCGTTTTAAAGTGGAGTGAATGTGGTGGCATCCAACAATGGTGATGGTATGGCAAAATACCCTTGGTGTTCGGCTGCGTTTAGACCAGCCGGTCACTGCCTTGGAAACAGCACGTGCCACGCAGAAAGCCATATGTTAGCTCAAACCGTTCCGCCCAAATCTTCATTTTCACGACGTTGACTTTACATTGGTCATCTAACATTTTGCATCCTCTCAAAGCCAGGTCGTGTTCGACTTTGATTTGCAACTCTTATTCAAACAGCTTCAGCGTCACACACACACACACATTGCCTGGAATTGTCGCTGTCATTATTCTGTTCTTTTTGGTTTTGTATGCCTTAAAGTTGCCAAGTAGAACCATTTGCCCATTTGCAAACTTTTGCGTTAAAGCAGCGCCATGGATGGGGAAAGAAGGCACGTGCAAAAACTTTTTCCCCGCAAACAAGCGTCTCTTGCCTCATACGACTTCAGTACTTTAAAGGTTCCAAAATGTGTGGTTATTTTGGACTTCGCTTGTTACTCTTGCCTAGATGATGGATGTTCAAAGAAGCAGAACAGCGCTTTGACCAATGTCCCAATTTTCGTTTGGGTTTCCAGCGAAGCAATCCCATCCCCCAAGGCAGTCCAAAGTGTCCAGCTGCACGAAGCTCCGGGTTCCTTGTTTTGGTGAGAAAGTTCGCAATAGCTTTTTGATCCAACAAATTCAATTTTTTTGGACATTTTTGTTATCTGTGACCCGGGGCCCTTAGCGCAGTCAATGGCGCTAGCGCTAGCGCTAGCACGGCATCGAGTTCGCTCGCCCAAAGGGGTGACTTCAGCGACTGAGGCCGGGTCACCTGCGGCAACGCTCTGGAGATGGGTTCCGTCTCCAGTGAAAGCGGAAGGTTTTTACAGCGGTTGCTTGAAGACGCTGCGAGAAGTATCAGCCCGGGTGTGTTTGCCCGATAGTTTTCGGGCAGAAGCTGTTCTTTTGAGATCTTTTGTTTGGTGAACAAAGAAAACATCATTTGGTTCAGCCATTGGCAGACCAAGAACCCATGTGAAACCCATGTGAAACCCATGTGAAGCCCATGTGACCTTTGACCCCTGTTTCTTTGGGGCCTCCAAACCCACTCTTGTTGGGGCCTCCAGCACCGGGCTGCCGAGGCGGGCTCGAGCCGGGTCGATGGAGCGCCCACAGGTGGGCCACCGGTCACACGGACCGGAGAAGCATGTAGGCAAGGCGTCTGGTGTGGAACCCAACTTGTCTTCCCAAGTTTGTTTTGACTTTGGAGTCTCGTGTTTTTGATTGTTCTTGGTGGGTTGAAGGTCATTTGGAGATTTTGGAGGAAAGAAGATGATACAATTAGGGGCGAGTATCGAAGAATTGCTCGGAGATTGGAACGAAGGTCTCCAAACATGCAATGTGGGGATGATGGAAGTAGATAATTACTCAGACGACTCAGGCTGGGAGAGGCTTGTTTCGATGGGTGAGGCAGTGAATTTCACTTCTGTTCCTCACAACCTTGGGTCACTGGCAGAGATATGGGAATGTTTATAACTCTTATGAAGGAAAGGTTCTGGAAAGCGACCGGGAATATGACCGCCCAAACTACTTGCCAGAAGCAAAGGCCAGAAGGCTCCCGTTCTTCTTTGTGTCTGACACCGTTCGCCGGTCGGGGGGTTCGTTGGATCTTCTTCGACCACCTCATCCGTGCCCAGTGGCGGCGCTACAGCATGCCGCCGCAGGCCTGTGACTTTGCTTGGGTTTGCCCTTGGTGTTGAGTGCTTCGGGTTGCAGGAGATGTGGCGTTGAGTTCCCAGGGGGTTCCTTCTACACAATCTGAAAGGCGTAGGCGGTGCTTGTCAGCAGCACCCCAAGACTAGACCAGACACAGATCCAAGCGCTTATTTTTTCAATTCAATGGTCAGCTAGGGGCATGCTGGGCTTGTCCTGGACTGGCAGTCAAGTTGGGTAGACCACGTAGACGCCACCAATCTAATTTGACAGAGGAATGGATGTTGCGTTCGAAAATGCAGAGAGGGTTCCCAAGTTCCTCCATTTTGACCGCATTACAAGAGGGATCAAGAGGGCAACCGACGTCTGATTTTGCCTGCATCTTACGTCTCCAGTGCGCAGACAGAGCCACCTGGTTCTGCCTCCAGCCATCACCACCAAGTGGCAGCAAGACACTTGAGACTTTTTTGTGTTCTTCCACCAAAACAGTCCAGCTTCGGAACGTCGCCGAGCTTTTTTGGCAGAACAAGGGCGTTTTCTGCCTCAGGTGCGTCGCCAGCGTCGCGTGCGCCCCAAACTCGGTTCTGCTTTTCGGTTGGGCCAGGGGGGCTACAACGGCTTCAAGGTGGCTGTGGCCATCATCGTGTTCCACTTCGGCGTGAAGATGTTGGCCTGGGGCACCTGGTCACGGCGCTTACGTCGGGCATCGTCGGACGTGGCGCAGACTCGGAAACCGGAAACGGTCTACCACCGTGCTGGGGTAGCTGGTGTGCTGGGATAGGGTGCGGGTCGCTCTCAGACCTACCGTATATAAATCAACAAACCATCGAGCAGCGACTCCTCCCGTTGAAACGTTGTGGATTTCCTTTGGTGATCACCTTCTCATCCTTTGAGGCACTTATACACTTATATGCCATGGCAATGGCGGCCATGTTTCTTCAAAGGTGGCCTTTGAGAGTTTGGGTCCCACAGAGGCCTTCAGCGTACTCCCGGGTGCCAAATTCCTGGTTTTGGTGTCGTTGCGGTAGCTGGCTACATTCACCAACGCACAGAGAACCAGCTTCACGAGATGTGCCCAGTCTCCTTGCTTCCGTAGTAGCCCGACCGGCGTCTCCACGCGTGGTTTTCCCGCTTTTGGATGCTGTTTCCGTGTGCTACTTTCTACGCCCGCATGTCGCTGGGTGCATCGTTTTCGTGCAGTTTCTTTCGGATTGCGGAGTTGGATGGTGAGGTTCAGTTTGCGGATTTGCTGCTCCCGTTCATCATGTCGCTCATCTTGGTGACCGTCCTTGAGCCTGTGAAGCAGGCCCGAGCCCGAGCCGCCGCGATCGTTGGAACCGAAGAGGGCTGGAGGAAGGCTGAGGAAGGAAACCTGGTTGAGCACTGGGACCCTGGGATGCTGCGAAGAAGATTTAGATCTCCTTTTAGGGGGATGGACTTGCACCTCAATTTGAGCAACCCTCATTACTGGTCGTTGAGCGGTATGGTGCCTCTCGTCAGGAATTGTGAACCTTCATGCTCCGGATACCTACACCCAATGTAAGTATATACCCCCAGCAACCTGCTGCAAGACACTGCAAGACCCTTCTGTTCGTCTCAGTTTCTGGACAGATCCACACCTCATCCGTAGACACCCGTGCTCCGTTTTCCTGTAGAGCACAGCCAATGCTCCGCTGGCCCCGCTGCCGCTCAGTACACCCTCGAAGTCCTCGAGCTCGGAGAGCCCAGCTCCGAAGCGGTCGACACGAACGGGCGGGCGGGCGGTCCACGCGCCACCGGTGGGCGACCGGGCTTACCAAAGGCAGGGAGGTTTTTTAACGTGTGAATACCTGGCACCAGTCATTCACACGTTTCCTCGTGATGGACCTGAGGTTTTGTTTCCTAAAAACATACGGCCCAGGCGGTAGACGCCCAGGCGGTAGACTCCTCCACACGTGGCAAGGGAGCCTTATTCGTATTTGTGGGATTGATCGAGAACTGTCCATTCCCGTGACCTGGTGACTTTGGGGGGGTTGCCCTGCCACCTGCCACCTGCCGCTCTCGAGCGATTTTGGGGGCCATTCCTCGATGACAGGTGAGACCTGTCCAGATGGCTCAGGGTTTTGGTCCACTTTTCCGCTGCCCGAGGTGTACCTTTCTCTTAATCTTCTCCAAGTTGCCCTGCTGCCGCTGTTGCTTGAAGACGTCTCGCAAGGTGGACCGTTTTTCCTGTTGCTGTGTTTGTCGGGGGTTCCCGACGGTGGTGGCAGATGAGAGACTCTGCACGGTCCGGGGCTGCAACAGAACGGGTCTGCTGGGGGCTTTCACTCGTCCATGTACTACGACAGCAGCCAGCCCTCGGACAGCTGCACCTGGGAGTTGGTTGGTACTGGGACAGCCAGCTGCAATTCTCTGTACGCCTTTGAGTTTGGATCACAAAGTTCGCTCAAGTGGATGGCCCAAGGCAAAGGACGATGTTTGGCAGCCAGCCCTCTGGCTTCTGCATGTGTCAAAAATAGACAAACAAGCCACGTTCTCCCGATACTCTCCGAGTGATTGACATGGGGGTGGATAACTACCTGTTTTGTAGAACAAAAGGGTCTTCCAGCGGCCTATGCCATCCACTTGCCTGATGATTTCAGGGAGTGTAGATATCACATGAGATCGCCAAGTACCCAAAACACTTCAAGAGAAGTGAACGTTTACTTTTTTTCCGACTGCGACAGACGGTTTGCCACCCCCATTTGTCTGACGGTTGCGCGGTTGCTCCGGGGTTTGGACATGGTCGTACTGGTCGTCCCTGTTGTCGATCCCACAGCCCAAGTCCTTGCGTTCGCTGGCACCCCTTGGGGACTCCTACGCGTCACTCCCAACCTACGCGTCACTCCGGTTGGCCCCGCGTGGTTGGCATGGCTGCTTGGCCGGCCATGACCATCGACCGCCGTCCTCCGCCGTCGACCACGACGGCGCAGACCGCGGGCTACGGCAACGTGGACAAACGTGGGCCCCCTTGGTGGTCGTTTTCTCGTGTGGTTCTGATGTGATGGTGCGAGGGCATGGACGGGTTTGATGTGGGCGATGGACTGGGCGAATCTGGATTCGTCCAATTTTCCCCCGAGGCATATCAAGTACTTGACCGAATTCGTGCGGAGGTGTTGGGCCACTGGCAACCCTTCGAGAGAAGGTGTTGGGCCGGCCGTACCCTCTGACTCGTATGGGAGTGGAAGTGCCCACCTGCTTGTAGAGAAAAGATCCAATGGACCATAACCATCGAAAAAGAACTCCGTTTTCCATGTCCATGAATTCCGTGAGTGGAGTGTGTGATCTCCGCTTCTTCGGTACCCCTGCATAGGTACCGCTTGCTTGAAGTCTTCCCCATCTACTTTCCAGGTCAGTCAATACTTCAGGCAGACAAAAGTTTACGCTTGTTAGCCTTCTTACAAAATACTCTGAGGTCAGCGGCGGATCGAATTAACAAGTCTAATTTTCGTGGCAGGTGTGGGACGGTCAATTATCACACCCTTTTAAATTTATAATAATAAAAGGCTTTCCGGGGTGACAAATGACCGCCCACACCTCTCCTTGTCTCATGGTGTAGGATTCTACGGGGATAGGGTTGTCATGAGTTTCAACATCAAGAAGCGCAACTTTCTTCTGGCCAGTGTATAGAGGATCCTCGTCCCCAAGGTCCTGACAGCCATGCGACTGGGTGCCACGGGGGCGCCACACGCCGAGGTGAAAAGATCGATCTGTCGGGCGGGGCCGGGATGCCCCAGCCGCCCACGGGGAGCGGAGGACGTTCATCGGTGGTGGGACGTTTGGTGGGGAAGGTGATGGTTCGGTGGTTTTTGGCAGGGAGAGAGAGGCTCTGCATAGAATTCTGGTAGGTGGGGAGAATGTGGGGATAAAGCCTGGTCATAGGGATTTCTATTTTGAGACATGCACATTGGACCTGAGAAGAGAACCCCATGTGGTATGCGTGGAAGGTCCACATGCGCAGAGCATACTGGTCACAAGTGAAGAAATGTTGAAGCTTTGTGAGGGAATCTGCAGAACTGAAAATCAGACTCCGACCATGACGCGTTGCGCAAAGTGTCACCATACTGGTGACGAATCGCAGATCAAGAAAATCTTGCTCTTCATTGCGATTGCCCAGACCTCAGTTCTGCGGTCTATGGTCCAATTCTTTCGGGTTCGGCTCTCCAGCACTTGAGTTGAACAGCACCATCCAAGAGATTCATGACCAAAATACTACTTTGCACGGCAGTGTCCACTTTCCGATTTTTTTGATCTTCAGAGCAGTCAAGTCAATCTACCACTACCACTAGGTTTCTAGCCACATGTGACCATGGAAAGAAACCTAGTGGAAAGAAACCCAGCCCACCCACATGGAAAGGAAGATTTGCAACAAGTTTGAAATGGCAGGGGTGACGGGAGGTTGTTCCGAGGAAAAGGTTGGCAGCATGCTGCGTTGGTTGTGCTGTATTTGATACGTACCCCCGTTTGTTTTTCTCGACACTTTGTGTACACTGTCCGCTACTCGCGGCAGGGCGGGTCTACTGACTAGGAATAGATTAAGGGAATGAATCACAAGGTGTCTCTTGTGGGAGGTCAAACCCTCAGCCACCGCACGAGTCGCACCAGTCAGTCGCACCGGGCGGCTCGCTGGGCTTGGACTGGGTGCATCAGCGACTCGTCTCTTCCGAGTCGGGCCAGTCCCGCGTCCGGGAAGGGCGAGGTGTTTTGTTATAGTTACCCTTTTGTTTGTTAAGTTTCCCGAACAAATCTAGAAACCAACATCATCATTAGTGTGAGGGTGAGCACTTCTTCAAGGAAGCTCCCCCCGCCTGAGCTTCCTTGAAGAAGCGTGAGCTATACTGCGGAGGGAGCTAGTCCAGGAGCTTCCTCACTCCCTTAATTGAGTATATGCCTACTATTAAGGAGGTTGTTGGGTAAAACAAGACAGACGACAGACGGAGGGAGGTTCGGTTTTGGTGACGGGCAAGACCGGGGCAAGACCTCCGAGGTCTTGACCATCCTCCTGGCCTTTCGGATTTTTTGGTTCGTGGGGCAGATCGTCTGGCTCAGTGGCGAGGCGCGGGGGTGGCGGTGCCTTCGGGGCGCGAGGCGTGGGCAGAAGGCAGATCGTCCGATCAGTTTGATGGCGGTTCTTCGGTCGGTTTGGGCTGTTGTCCTTTTTGGATCGGTTCGGAGGAGTTGACCAGTGACTGACCAGTGACCTGATAGTTGTTGAAGATGGAGAAATGGCTTCACCGGCCCTGCCCCCGCGTGCCCCTTCTACTCACGGTTTAGGGAGTGGACTGAAGTAGAAAAACACGTCACGAGGTTCTTGAACTGGATATGAGACCGCATGATTGATAGAAAGAGTCTGGAAACGGGGACAGAGGCATAGACATGGGACGAGACAGAGAGACAGAGAGGTATGTGCGATGATGCACTTAGACTTAGCTTCTGAGTTGGAAGCTGCCCCCCAGCCGTGCACAGGCGGTGATGCATGACTTCAAGTTCTACAAGATGGGCGTGGGGAAAAGGACCAGCCAGGCCATGGGGAGCATGGTTGACATCGGAGATGGTCACAATGAAGAGGGGACGGCTCCAAATATTTGCAGACAAGAGATTGTCACCACCAGAGTTGTTCACAATGTTTGCCACAGAGCACCACAAATCACAGCCCCGTGCCCTGCACATCAGCCGACCACCAGTCGGTGGTGGGGGGTTCCATCCAAGCCACCCGACCCAGGTGCAGGACCTGCTGCACAGGTGCGAGAGAGTAGACTTTGTATCTTTTGAGCTGCACAGACTTTCATTGTTAGATTCTTTTACAGCCATGCTTTGATGCTGCACGATAGAAGAACAGAGCGATGCCTTCAAATTGTCCAGCGGTTCTCTGGATGGGCACGTTTCCCGCCAGAAAGATGGGGAGGGACCAAGAGCGCCCCTCACTTGCAGATGTCCTTCCAGTCCGTGCGGCAGGTTTCATTTGGAGAAGAGCATCCCTACCGACATGAAGTCGGGAGTCCGAAGTCGCATGAAGCCCGCTGTGCGGAGAGTCTTTGGGTCACTGTTGGGTCACCGCAGAGTGAGTTTCGGCGGTCGGGGCAGCTTTGAGGTTGTTGCGCGACCGTGCGAGGGGGGTCCGACAAATAGGTCCGAAAACCAGAGAGGTGTCCTTTTTTTTTCACGGTCTGTTATATACCAAGGCAGGTGCCCATTGGATGTGACGGTCCGGGCCATTCCGCTCTCGGCTTCTCCCGACCTTGCGCCGCGGGCGCTGCCGTGCGCTCGAGTGCAACGCTCCAGGCACATGGGCGACTTCGCCTTGAGCCTGCTGCAGTACGTGGCGCAGTTCCTGAGTCAGCAGGCGGAGTGGTGGGACATGAACTAGGGAAGCGCTTTTGGATGTGAAAAGTGTAGGAGCTGGGAAGTCGCCCGGAGTCTACCTGGGCATGTTGGACTTGTTTCGCTTTGTCCGCTTTGTTTCGCGGCCGATCGGTCGGAAGCGGTCGCCGATCGGTCGGAAGCGGTCGCCCCGCAGCGGAATCGGCCACGCTGCAGGTGTTCTACACCTTGACGCAGGTGGGATTGGCCGAAGCTGCGGTGATTGGCCGTGTAAAGAAGAGACGACGCTTTCGACTGTGACTCTTCCAGACTCTGAAACTCAGCTTGGAACGGGTTGAAGCTCGGCGCGACGGACCATGTGCAGACCCAGTCTAATCCATCAAATCTATTCAAAAATCTCATTTGGTTCATTTTGCTTGAAGATTGACACATGCAGCGTAATATGAAGCTGGAAACGATCAAATGGTCGAATAAATATCTTGTGTCTCTCTCTCTCTCTCTCCCTCCCTCCCTCCCTCTTTCTCTAACATGCTAGAAGCAGCTCAAAAGGTATAAACGTGTTCTGCTTTCCGGGCAAACAAACCAGGACTTCCTCCATTTCATCGATGCCAAACCAGGACTTCCCTCCTTCTCTTTTTTCGGTTTTAGGCAGTGGGTGGTGAAAAGCTACTCCGGCAAGGTGAGTTTGACAGCGATCTTCGTTCTCTTTCTGTCGGTCACCTAGCTGTCGTGAGTGGCCGTGTCCAGGCCAGGGATTAGCTTGGAATGCGGAGGACTAGGAGGGCAAGGGCGAGTTTTCGCACACAGAGTGACTCAATTGCGCATTCAAAACTTGTCCATCAGAGTCACCTCCAATTGGATAGATGAGCAGATCCCCTTTCAACCTGTTAGAATGGAAGCCCTTTCTTGGAATCTGAAGCGTGGACGTAGATCTGTCCGAGGCTGTTTTCGCCAGATCTCGTCCACCGAGGCTGTTTTCGCCGGTGCAGCGGGACTTCTCCCCGGTGATGCAGGCCGGTGACCCTGTACGTTGTTCGAAAAGTTGTTCGAAAAAAGGGCGGCCAACAACCAGGTGGCTTAACCTTGGGGCCTCCTTCCTTCTGGCCGTCTGTAAAGATTGTAAATATCCTCTGGAATCCCTTTAGAAACCTCGAAAACGGTGGATTTTTGCTGTTCTTCGACCCCCCGAAGAGCCACCTCAGACGTCGTCACGGGGGGCGTTTTCGGCGGCGCCGGGTGGATGAGTCGCCCCGGTCACGCCACGCGCCGGCCGGCGTCGCGACGCCAGGGCGTCTTCGAGTCCATGGAGCTTTACTTGAAGCTGAAGACGGTGGGGGGGCCCAAAGAAGGAGCTGTTGGATCGCAGGTGGGCTGTTTGATCTTGGTTTCAAGTTTCTACACAACTTCTGGCCGATCTCGCAGGGTTAAGACACTCATCTTTGCAGTCGACACCAGTGTCCTGAAGGGCCAGGTCGGAACAAGGATGTATGAGTCTAGCTGTCAGAGTCACCAGAAGCACATCGATCACACCCTTGGAGAATCTGTTTGCCCACGTGGCAAACACTGTTTTGTTTCTACAGCTTCCTCTTGCCTCTTGCAAGATCCAGCGTGTTTTTCTTTCTTTTTTTTTTCGTGGCTGTTTTTTTAAGTCTCCAAAAGGTGTAACACGGACGACGACGGTGGACCGTACGACGACTGATACGCCACGTCCGACACGGTCGTGAATCGGTCGCTTTCACCGGGTGAAGACGGACCGAATCGGTCCGCAACGCGGGTGGGCCAATTGCCAGCGAGCGGATTGGTCCCTCACCTGTCGCCGGTGGTTGGGTGGTTGGGTGGCATGTTTTAGCTGTCTGAGCTAGCTAGCAGCTAGTAGCTAGCTGTGCCCAAGTGCTTCTAGTTGGTTCATCCTGGCCGAAGATCATTCTAAGGGTTCCCGTTCTTCACTACTATCGGGGTGTCTGCGAAACCAATGGTTTCTAATTTCCTTTCTGACCACAAATTTCACTCTGAGGCAACCCTAAGGTTTGTTCCATTCTCACCAAGAATAACCTTTGTTGCAAGGAGCTTCGCTAGCCAACATAATCTAGTAATCTTAATCTACTATTAGTTGGAATGGAGTATATGTCAGGAATCAGGAATCTCGTAGTTCAATCGTCAATAAACAACATAGATAATTAGCATAATATGCAATAATGACAAGAGCTTATAACACGCCTGTCACCCCTATCACCCTTGATCATGCGTTCCTGCTTCAAGCCTATCCCAAACCCCGCCTGCCCTTTTTCCGAGTTCATCAGTGCCATGATGGGCGTGACCAACGGCATCGCTTTGGCGGTGATCGGCCTCGAGCTGCCAGCGGCCTGGGGCTTGTTGACCTTCCTGGCCAACTTCATCCCCAACATCGGTGGCCCCGCCCGGACGCCGAGGACGCTTCAGATATGAGGTTTTCTGCGGCAAGATGGTGAGATGGTTCAAGTTTTGGGTGCTTTTGGATGGGCAAGATGGGTGCTGGGTTTGGATGGTGCCGGGTTTAGGTGTTTTGGAGAGCAAGTGAGGGGTTCACCCATGTTCACCCGGATTCCCTGGAAGACTTTCTGACATATTGTGGTCCATCTCAGTTGCGTGGCCCGGTGTGGTTCACACCCTAATCAATGCCGGTCCCATGTATGGAACTTGGGATGGTATATCTTCACCAGAACGACTTTGAGGTTCCTTGACCCGCATGGAGCCTCTTCATATGCGCAGCTTGAGAGCCCCACATCGCTGTCCCAGGTGGTTTCCATCGTGCCATGCGTGATCTCCTTGCTGGATGCGCGGAAGTCGCTGACGCAGGCGAGGTTTCCGGACCCCGCGGGGGGGAGGAGGTTTCCGGACCCCGCGGGCGGGGGTGTTCTTGAAGTAACGGTGACTTTCTGAGACACGTTTAGCTGATCACATCACTTCATCACACTATTTTTTTTTCTGAGATTCATTGATTCATCTGAATCTCCTCACGCCTGGCGCGCCAAGCGCGCCTGGTCAACATTTCTAGTGTCAACTTCTCCTTTCTTTAGGGGAAGCGTCTAGAAACATTTCCCATCCTTGTTCCTTGCTACCGGCACTTGTCTTCCTTCCTTCGCACCGCTTCGTCCCCCCCATTTGTCCCTCTCACTCCGGTGACGTGTTCACCATGCACTGCGGGTTCCGCCGGGCCCGCCGTCCCGTTCGCGGCCGGGCACGCGACCCAACGGCGACCCGGGTGAACGCACGCTTCCGCCCGACTCGGGAGACTCGGGACTGACTCGGGACCAGCAGATCCAGGTCACCATGGCCTTCTTCGTGCAGTTCTTCTTGCATTTCAACATCGCCAACTTCGTGGAGCCGATGGTCTTCGGCAGCAGCGAGGACGCACGATGCTGGTTCCCCCGCACTTCCCCCTAAGGATGCATACACTCCCTGGGACGAGCGGGAGGGTGTGCTGGAAGACCGGGAAGATGGGTCAGGTATGCAGTGGGTGAGGCGGATTTCGGGTCGGGGAGTGGTGTGGTGGGTGATGAGAGAGCCAGAGGATGAGGTCATAATGGTCGCAAGGGTAGGGTATGAAGTGGAGTTTGGACGATGGCATGAAGATGCATGAAAGGGACTCTTTTAGTCTATTTTCCTCCCTTGTTCATAACATCCCTGCGGTGCACGAACCGTATCTTGGCCTCCGTCAAGCTTCTTGAGACCAGGTTTTTATGGCGAAGGCAACCTTCTAACGCCTGCCTTGGCGAGCTTTCAGAGATTTGTGGAAGGGTTCCACCAATTTGTTGAGCCTTTTGGGTTCTCTCGACTTTGTACAATTCGCGTGCCCATTAGTTGGGAACGTGGGGGTTGAGGAAACTGAGGAGACCCATTCCAATGTCAATCTGTTCCATTTCAATTGAAAGAAACAATCTAACTAATAGATGCTACAAATCCACTTGCTTTAAGCCGCCTGTAGCTGGCGTAGAAGTGCATCTACAGAGTTGAATCAAGGGGGTCTACCACGCGAACTGGTTCGCAGACATGAGCTGCTGAACACGCCCTTCCTGGGGGGTACCTGCGTCCTTCCTTGGCTCGACCACGAGGAACAGCAAATGGTTATTTGTCAAGACTGGGGCTGACTTCTGAGACCAGAGATGTTTCGATCAAGTTCTTTGTCGTTGGGCTAGCTGCGGGCCTGTCCGCTAGCTACATAGCCTAGTTCATCCCCTGTCTAGCCTGTCTAGCCCCCTAGCCAGCCACGAAAGCAAGGCTGCACACAGGGTTCCTTTCGCCTTAGCCTTTTGCGAATCTCCTTTCTTCGACTCGGCCAAAGCAGTCGTCGGGCGTCGTCGTTGGATGGCGCAGCTTCCCTTGCAACGGGTGAGAGGCGCGAGCTCACCGAACGAAAGCAAGACGGTTTCGGTTCTAGTAGAAGCACAAACATCCGCACCCAGCCTGACCACCCTCTGGGATTTTGCGGGCAGTCTAGGCTCAGTCTAGGCTTTTGAAAAAAAGGTCAAGAAAGAGCCAGAGGGTCACGTCATTTCGTGGGCTTTATAGACAAATCATTCTCACTTCGCCTCACTACGCAGAACAGGTCGATGAGTTTCTTACTCCTTCCTTCTCAAGGTGAAACACCTCCTGTCACCGGCTTTGGCCAACTGGCACCCAGCCAACCTCCAAGCAAGCATCTACCCCACCCAGGTGGCTGGGCGACTCACCATGCTGGTGGAGTCGTGAAAAACACCGGACGCGCCGCCCATGTTCACACCTCGCGCCGCCAGGCCTGCCCAGCCCTGAGGCACGGACCGAGCAGCGTCCCAAAAGCGACATCCCCCTGGGAAGTGACACACGTGGGGGGGGATGTCATGAAGAAAACTGTGCGCCTGCCTTTTGATGGTGGATATGGGTTGATCGATATTTCATCTCAACACAACTTGTTTTGGTTCGGAGACGATGCGCACTCTTGGTTTGGACTCAGGATCACTCTGTGACGTCTCGGACTTGCAAAAACAGCTCAGTTGGACTGCCAGGTGTAAATTCAGGTCCAGTGGACGATCCAAAAGTTTTGTGAGCTATGAGAGTCTAACAAGTTCTAGCTGAAAAGCACTTCATACCCAGTTGATGAAGAACATAGGATCATCATCGTCGTCGTCATTATCATCATCATCATCATCATCGTCATCATCATCAACCAACTTCTCAGTTTCCCGACTCCACTGAGGCCCTGTTTGTTTTTTTTTTAAACATTTTGCAACCTCCTTCAGAGACCTTTGTTCTCCCACTGGGGCGGCCAGGTGAGGATCTCCTATGCCACGCCCACCGTGCTGGCGTCTCCTGTGACCGCTCCCATCTTTGCAGCTCGCTGCATGGTCTTTTGAGGGTTGCATCATATATCATAGCATGCTATCATAGTAGCATGTTATCCTGGTAACATGGATTTTTTTTCTTCAAAACCCATCATAGCATATGCTAATAGTAACCAAGGACTTTCGCTCCCGAACGCATGTTGCGCACCCCGGAACGCCCCCCCCGGCCACACACCGAGGTGAAGACGCCGGACACGGTCTCAGGAGACCGGAGACCGGGAGGGGAACCAGAAACACGGACGGATCGAAGAGAAAGGACAAAAGGACGGTGTCGCGTGGGACTGTTTTGGTTTCGGAAGGCTGCAGGGCGAGAATTGGGTGACTTATTCGCACGAAACACGTGAGCCGCGCGTTGTCGCAGGGCGCTCCACGCCGATGGCCATGGCCTTTCAACCGACACAGGCGGGGTGACCACAGGGTCTCTGGGCCTCATCGAATTGTGCGAAGAATGCCAAGATGCGGAAATCACTGTGGTTGGTTTTGGGTCTACTTCGATTCATTTTGAGAAGCTGTTGAGAGTCCACTGGATTCGGCGCCAAGTGGGTAAAGACCGCTGGGGTCGGCGATAGAAGATGCCCAATGGAAAGCTCCAAGTCGAGTCTTGCAGATAAAGATCCAACCCCTCTGCCGAAGCCCCCCGCAGGGAAAATAGTTCGTCTGCCTCGTGTTGCGTGCGCGCTGAGGCTTTGGCACCAGCAGTGCAGAAGGTGCGGTGTCTGTCAGCCGAACAAGGATTGGGAGCTGGAGGAATCCCTTCGGGGTCAAACTTGGTTGGAGTGAGTACCCAGGTGACCGCCGAATAAGACTCCTCACCCTGCTGAGAATCAGAACCAGCCTGGCCCAAGAGCTCCATCAAGGCGGAGAGGTTTTTTGGCATCAACATGACATGTCCGTGGATCTCCAGACTGATAGCCTCCAAGGCTTGGATGATCCAGGATTTCGGGGTATACCCGTGCTTCTTCCAGGTCTACTTTGGATCAAGGATCAAGAAGTCAACACTGTTTTCGGCCCAAAAGTTTTATATATTTTCTCGAGGCAAAACCCGACAGGGTCTTTGGCACTCCGACTGGGCCAACTGCAATACTTACTAAAAAAAGAGTAAAAGGAGTCGGAAAAGAAGTGTGGACCGACCAACTGTCCAACTGTCCATCGAAACACGGGTGTTTCTGTCCGTCCGGGGATCGCCGCACCAACCAACCAGCTGAGCGCCTGTTCCTCCGAAAAGCGGCGTCTTGGCCTCCCGGGTGCGGTTGGGAGGTTCCTTCGCTCGGTGGGTGTGCCGTCCCACCAACGCGGTGGGGGGATGGCCCCCCCCCCCCGCCATTGGGTGAGGTGAGCACTCCGCGGTGCGCCGAAGCGCCCAAGGCGCGGCGGATGGGGGGTGGGCAGGGTTGGTGGGGTTGGAAGGTGTCCAGTCTTTGTTTGGGAGAGCCTTTGCAAGAACGATGGACTCCTCCTGACAACAGAGAGTTGATCTGAGCCGTTTTTGGCGTCACAGGTTCCTGATATCCTCGCAGGTTTTGGTCGGTGGTGGGTGGATTGGATGTCCCATCTCTCCTGCTATTTGGGCTCTTCCAACAGTCCGTGACATCTCTGGATTTGCCTCTCTTCCACAACATGGACCTGAGAATATGCCTTTGGAAATATCTCGCAAGTTGCAAGAGGGGATGCTTTGCTGAAATTGAGTGACCGCTGCCCCCCAGAAACTGTTGTCACAGTGGGTTTTCATGACATCTAAACCTACTGGACTTGAAGGTTCGCAAGGTCTCTTGAATGACTCTTGAGCTTAGGTCTGAGTTTGAGAGGCCAGGTCCACTCAATTCCTTTCAGTCTTGGTTGGAATACTTTCAGTCTTGGCACTTCCAGTCTCGATGTTTGTTTCAGGTGAAGGCTCCAGAAGTGGAGGCCCGGTGCGGTGCTGCGTGGGAACCAGCGCCAGGTGGGTTGCCGGTCCCAGCACCGGGTCTGGTGGACTCCATGTACACCATATCTGGAAATTAATGATGGGTGTTGTCATGGTGTTGTCTCTTTCGATGGCCTCAAATCTAATAGCGATGGCCTTCAACTGCCTTCAACCTAATAGATGGGGATGGGTGTTGTCTCTTTTGGCTTTCTAGGGTGGTTCAATGTGGTTCACGATCGGGACCACACACAACTGTTCGTGTTGACCGCCCAAGGGAGAAAGAAGAAGAAGAAGACACCGTGGACATTCTCAGGCGTTTCACACTCTCAGCTACAGACTGGCTATGTCAAGTTATGTCCAGAGATCTAACTCGGACCAGACCCGGAGAAGCTGGGACAGCACTGCCTCTCGGAGTGAATGAACATCCGCCTTACATCGCCTGAGAGCTCTTTGAGCTGCCCAAATCCAACATCCAGTCCATCACACCATCCCAATCCTTGGACACCGCTCTTCCTGATCCCGCCGTCAGGTGCCCCAACCGGACCTGCCAGGCCCACCGGCCGAGGTGAGCCCCAGGCGTGGGGGTGCGGCGGGTTGGTGCTTTCGCTGGAAGGTCGGTCCCGGTCCGTTGCTCAGTGGAGACGTTTCGTCCTTGAGGTCTGTCACATGAGGTCATTGACCTGAGGTCCCGGAAGAACAAGGGTGTTCTTCGAGTCTGAAAGGGGGGTTATCGAGGCGACGGAACATCATCATGTGGAGCCGAGTCTTCTCGAGGCCCACCAGGACCGGTGTCACCATGTGGCGCCGGCAACTAGGAGGTTCTTCCACCATTCCGGGAAGATGGAATACATCATCGATGTAGTCTTTGAGGGGGCGTGGATTATGTGCTCATCTCGTCCTCATCTGCATGAACTGATTCATTTGACTGAGCTGACTGAGCTCTGAAGATGGATGATGTGAAGATGAACTCCAGGTCCCTAGAACCCGCCGGTGGCCCCTTCCTCAAGTCGCTCCACCTCAGCACGGAGCAGCTGTTGAGGTGGGTCGACGCTTCCGCCGGTGCTCCGCTAACCGCACGGTTGCAGGGAGAGGTCGAAGACGCCGAAGACGCCCAGAACCCCCAGGAGCGGCGTGGCGCGTGTTGCGGCGCCGCGCGCGACCGCGTGGCGCGCGAGGCCCTGGCTGGAGGTGTTCTGGAAGTTGTAGTGCAGATGAGGTGTTGATGTAGTCAAGACATCATTGTTCACCCCACTTTTACAGTATGGTGTGGTACTGTTGCACTGTTGTATTGCTACCATTTGGATGAGTCATTGTTCTTCAGCGCTCTGCAGAGTTCTTTCAGCCTGGGTCAACCAGCAAATGAGCTGGGTGTAGCCCATGCGGCCTGGAAGTATAGCCACACTTCTGATCCACAACCAGGCAAAGGTGGATTCTTGGCTGTTGTGGTCTGGTGTCACACCATTCTTTACGGCCAAGAATCCTTTAAATGCCCAAAGTCTGTGCAATACTATATATAACATTTATTTTTGTATCTAGTTAGATAAACTATACATGAAATTATACAGAAGTCTTTTTTGGTCCACGGACTGCTTGCCTCAATTGGATCATGCTTATCCTTCCATGAAACACACCACACCCAAACCGCACCACGTCAAACCCTTCCGCCTGCGTCACGCGTCTTGTGGCCCGATCTCCACAGAGAGACCCGATCTCCGCCGGCCGCACCGTCTCAATCTCTTAGAGCTTGCGACCATCATGTCGGGATGCCCGGGCCGGTCAGGGCCTGGTTAGAGGGGAGGACAAAAAGAACTGATCAAGTGAGGTGGTCTACCCAGGATCTTAGACAGTAGTCTTAGGTCAGCCACAGGTTCCCCAAGTTTGGATACAACAGGGTGTCTATATATGTGATGAGAAGTGGGAACACACGCTTGACAAAGGTGGTTTTGGCCATTTGAATATAGTGACTCAGAGAGTTGGTTTGAGTTGCCTAAGCTGGGGATTGGGGTTTGACTCAGAGAGCTGGTTCCTCTCACGGCGTGGGAGATTTGTGGGTGGCTTTCGAAGTGTGATTCTGACCTGTTCAGTGTTGTTGAATTCGCAGAGCCTCTTCAGGCAACTGAAGTGTCCTTCAGGAATTCTGGGGCGTTCACATCCGAAGTCCAAGATTGCTATGTGCTGAACGGGTTTCTGCTGAACGGGCCTCGGAAACCCGGCAGAGAGTCTGCGAGTTCTGAGGCAGCGCCTCTTCAGGAGCGTCTCATCCAGGCTGCGCTTTGCGCAGCGGCTTCTGCCGAGGTGTTGGCTGATTTTGAACCCCCTTCACCCAGCAACCTGTAGCAACCTACAGAATGCGGACAGGATATTTCGGTGTTTGCGACCTGTTTGGCATGGTGGTTGTAGTTCGTAGTTCTTGGCAAGGGTCGGGAGTTGGGCTGGTTCTACCACCAGAGCAGATCACTTTCTCGTAGGCGAAAGGGCGAAAGCATCTTCTAGATAGTAAGTTTTCAACAAGAAGATGAGAGGATCTGATGCTACCCGACCGGAAGAGGTGCTTTATATTGGATAGCTGTTCCTCTGAAGCTATTCAGAGGTCGGTCGGTGACATTCCTCGACTTGAGAGAGAGAGAGAGAGAGAGAGAGCGGTGAAAGTACAGGTCACTTTTCTACTTTGGGTGGCATGCCCAAAGCAAAGTGACAGACCTGTTAGACATATTTTCGGGAACATCCTGGTGGACGACGGATCCTCACTCCCTCCCACTCCCATCCTGTCGAGGAAAGACCCCTTGTTCACCGGCCGAAGGCAGCTGGCTGGCGCCATGCGCCACTCCTCAACTGCCAAGGCCTGCGGTGAAAGGGGGGCAGCTTGGCCACTCTGAAGACCGTCGACTTCAGACGTTGTCCTACCATGTGGTGCATGGACTTGTTACCGTGCATGGACACACTCCTCGCGCGGCCTCACGGGTGCCATCGCGGCCCGATCGCGCAGAGTCTCCACGCGGCCGATTGCGCCAGGTTTGGATCAACAAGGATACCAAGGTCATTTGCCAGGGCATGACTGGGCGGCAGGGCACCTTCCACACCACCCAGGCTCGATGCGACACTGGATCAGGGAGGTCGGGAAGAGGATTCGTTGCAGGGTGCCAAGAGGTTAGGGAGAGGAGGAGGAGGAGCCTACGAGCCCTTTTAGATTGGGAAAGGTGACTAGATGAAAGGAGACGAATCCATCATCCATTCCTAGAATTCAAGACTGATCGATTCCCATCTCGAACAGTCTAGCACCTGAAAGACCGGTACGTAGACTACAGTAATTGATCAGGAGCTCCCGACCGTCGTTTGGAGATTCTTTTTGGATGCTTTTTTGGATGCCTTTTGACCCCTCAGGAATTGCGAGAAATCCTACGAGGGGATTCAGACTTTGGTAGGTCACACTCCTGACCTCGCTTTCTCAGCCTAGCCCCTGTACCTTATCACACTGGAGTTGAGACCAGTGTCTGGGTCTGGTGGGCCGTGGTGGCATAGCACAAGCTGCTCAGTCATCATCGTCGTTGTCATCATCAGAGACCTATAGACTACCATGCTGTATTAGACCTATAGACTAGCATGCTGTATTTGGGATTTGTGTAGACCTCTGTAGACTACCTATCTTGTCGTTGTATTTGATTTCAGACAGAGACCGATGCTCGGTACGACTGGCTGGTTCGAGACCGTCCAGGCGTAGGGTGATCCAGGGAGGTGAAAGCGACCGTTTTCTGCGACGTTTCAGGCGATCCAGTATGGCACCAGGATGGTGGGTGGCGTCAACAAGAAGAAGGCCAGTCTGTGCGCCGAATGATCTAAGAAGAACAGGCCGCTGGTAGAACTGTGTCGCGCCGCGGCACGGTGCCAGCGGCTTCTCTTTTGCCGCAGAGGGCTGGTGTTTGGCGTTTGGCGGCGGCCCTTTTGTTGGTTTTTGTTTTGTTTCTTTTCGAAGAGAGGCCCCGGTCGCCGAACCGTCTTCTTCACGAAAACGGTCTCGCCTTTTGTCTCCCGACCTTGATCTCCCGACTCGTTGAACGAACTTACTTCAGGGTGGCACGACGCACATGGGCGGGGAGTCCCAGACACCGCCGCTGAGAGCGGCGAGACTTGCCATTGGCAATGGACCATGAACAAGGGATCCAGGTCATGTAGACTCTTGATGAATAACAAGCCTTCAACATCCTTCAACCCCAGAGATGGATTGTAGCACCTCTGAAGAGGCCTGGGGGGTTGAAGTACAATCAAGATTCTACATTGCTTGTGATGATCCACTGCCAAACATTGCCAAGCTCATCAAAGCTTGAGGGGCGGCTGCAGCACGATCAGCAATGATACTGAGTGCAGTGCAGCGACAGTTTGGTTTAGTTTGATCTTGCTTTGACCAAAGCTAGCCTTTCAAACAGCACCACTCTGGCAATGAAGCTACAACAATTGTATCCGATGCAGGCTGTAAGTATGCTGAGTGTCTTTGAAGAATGTATCTCTGCCTCATGAGCAGTGGAGTATCGTTTTCAACATTACAGTCGAAGGGCGTTTCATCCAAGACTGTGAATTGAGCTTTCCTTGAAAAACGGATACGTTACGTCCAAAAACGATATTGTAGTCGACATATGCAGTAGATCCTTGGATGGCGATGTGCGAACCGTTCAAAATCCCGCAAAACGATACCTAGATACCTACAGTGTCACACTCAAAAGCGATACTCCTAAGTTTGAATGCATGCACCAAGCTTGAGCACTGCATCTCTGAGCTTGCAGACTTTGTGGCCCTTGCATGGACATGCTCGGGACTCACCATACAACAATTTGTTTGTATCAAAGAGGATTTGAGCTGCCAGAGATCAATCCTCCTCAAAGTTTGAGTTTTCAGTCTTTGAAACATGGGTTCTGCACGTCTGTCTGGCGTGTTTTGAGGTGATGTTCCGACAAAAAAGCAGGTTAGCATGATGGCACGTTGTGTGTTCTCAGCTGGCGTTCGGAATTCAGGGCCTTCCGTCATCGGGCCAACCAATCACCACAAACCATTGGCTCCATCTCAGCCAACCTCCTCCCCTTTCCCCGCAACGCCCAAGCGCGCCGCCCATTGGCGCCGAGACCTGCCGATCTTCGCCAACTGCATGGAGGCGAAGAAGGAGACGCAGCCCGGGCCCCCGGACCAAGCGTCCTCGCTCTGGTCGGCTTCTTGGATGCCAGGAGCCCCGAACGTAGCTTCGTGTTCCTAGTTGCTTCTTGCTACTAGTTCTTTTTTGAAACAATTGAGGAACCAAGTTCATAGTGCAGGGCGGCGGGGGGAGCGTCCTTGAAGAAGCGTGAGCCATCCTGCGTCCAGTAGGTCGTGGCCGCAGGCGCCCTTACTTCATTGAATAGGCGAATACTGAATTGCAGTACGTAAGAGCGGCCCTTGAAAGGAAAAACAGGGCCTTGGGGCCAGGAGAGGTCAGGCATGTTCGGAAAAAGAGACGGTTAGTTTGGTCTCCAATGTTTGTTTGATACTGCTTTCTTTCAAAGCTTGAGCTCTTTTCCTCTAGTTCTCCGAGCTCCAAACGTGTCCTGTCGGTGGCGTTTTGGTTCGTCACGGTGTCGCACGGTGGCCCCCGGAGCGAGGTGCGATGCCTCTGTGATCTATGTGCCCCCGCCTGCGGCTGCGGCAGCCGTCTTGGAGGCGTTGGAGGTGCGGCGACGGTGGAAGCGATCGATGAAGGAAGGAGAGGGGCTGCGAACCGAAGGTTTGCCCGGTTGTAAGACAATGGCCCGTGTCTCCAGTGCCAGGGCTACAGTGCCAGAAACGGCGGTGCCAGTTTAAAAGGTCTTGGGACTGGGACTCAAGCTGTTTGGGGTCTATGCCGTTCTTGGACCCTCCTTCCTGACACCGATTGGTTGACTTACCAGGCGTCCTGAGTGTATTAGAAGTGAAGGAGGAAAAGGAAAGATGGGTAACATCCGAAGTTCCGAAGATCTGGAGGCCTTGGCAAATGTTGGGTCGCGAGGCTACTTTTCTTAAAGAGGCAAAGATGGATGATAAACATGTACTTGCTTCCACCGCTGAGGCCGAGATCCCCCTCATCGTTTGCATCACTGAGGGTATTCCTCAGCAGGAAGAATCGCGTGGGCCAGACGTGGGTGAGGGGTTACCGTGGACCAGTTCTTTGCCAGGTGGAGGATCAGGCAGCGTAGTCATCGAGCAATCATCCGAAGGATTTACACATGTTGCCTGACACCAAGAGACCGGCTAGCAGGTCCACATGTTGACTGCTAGCTTTGATCCGAAGGATTTAATCATCTAGCAGTCTAGACACCAAGAGACGCCCCAGATCTCTCTTGGCCTTTTGGATCCGACGGCCTTGTCGTGGCGGATGAACTCGGACGGAGATGTGCAGTTGGAGAGCTTCACCCGTTGAGAAGCTCTCTTGGTTGAAGTTGTCCCAAAGGTGTATGGCCTGGGCCCAGGGGTGTGGAACCACAACATCACATCTTTCACAAAGTTCCTTTCCACTCCTTCCGTGGAGTTTTGCCAGCCTACTTTCCATGCCAACCGGCAGCGTAGGAACTGCACATTAGTAGTTTTTGTTTTACTGATGTTGAAGCACCAGGAAGTGTGCAAAGACGGATCATGAGCAAGAACAGAAACCAAGAATCCTGCAGGGACTGGGCAGATCCCCTGTTGTACTTGAGTGTATTCGCAAGCATACCTGGGGAATAAACCTTCCAAACTCCTGAATCAAGAAAAGGCTTTTGTTTTTTGGCACACACGGCTCTCAGAAGAGCGATTTAGGGATAAAAAGGGTCACTGGGTGGTTGGATTTTCAACGGCGATGTGCGCACTGTGCAGATTCACCTCTACCTATGGCGCACCTGGTCGGGCCCTTACGGTCGGTCCCTACCCGGCTTGGTCACCGTCGCTTTCGGCAGCTTCGATCCGGAGCGGGTGCCACGGTTTACCGGTTCCACGCGGTCACGGCGCGTGAAGCGACGGTTTCCGTTTCCGGTGTCTGTGAGGACATGGTGAAAGTGAAGCATGCCTTGATGCGTCAAAACAAGTCCCGCCTGATCGGTGGCGAGCTGAGTGGCCCACAGAAATCGGGTCGAAGCTCAACTTGCAAAAGATCATAACTACCAGAACCCTCCAAGGGGTGTTTATAGCCTCTTAGAGGTCAAGGGGTGTCCAAAAACCACCTGCTGGAAGGTCCTGGTAGTCAACGACTGTCGAGCTGCTTTCGACTGTCGGGCTGATGTGTCTGCCATCGCGGGTAGCTTTTGACCGTCCGGGATAGACTAGGGGTGGTGCAAACACCTGTGTGGGCGGCATCTGAGCTGCAAATCGAGTTGCACTCCCTTTGGGCCTTGGTCCTTGAACGTGGGGTGCAACCCAATACCGAACGAACAAGGCCGGCACCGGTTTCGCCCCCGCCGGCGGGCTTGCGTCGCCGGCCGCGGAGCGAGACGGGAACGGCCGCGCTGAGGCCCGAATTGCCCTGGCATCATCAAGCCCGGGGAGTGCAAGATGGGCATCATGCCTGGTCTGGGAACCCAGAGGTCGCTTTCTGGGGAGCTTTCTGGCTTGGCGAGGCTTCGGGGAAGGGTCTGGTTTCCGGTGAAGATCTTTTGGATGTTTTTAGTTGGTCCGCTTTTATGCCAGCTTTTAGGGGGAAGCCGAAACTGGTGGATCTGGAATCCATATGTTATATCCAGACGGGTTTACTTAAGACAGTGGTACGAAATGCAGCATGTCTATTTTATATGTATCTTAATGTATCTTATGTGACTTTTCAATGTTACTTTTTGTTAACGTTTGTGCGATATTCTTTTTTGTCGCGCAAGGTTTTGCTGTTTTTACATAGCGCACACTGGAATTTCCAGGTCGAGTCAATACTGGCCTTGTGGATCAAATGTGGGCTGATGTGAAGCAGTGGGTGCCGAAGCCAATCACTGCACGAAACAAAGAAGGAGAAATCACTGGCTTGTTGTGGTGTTATGTGGACCAGTGGTGGCTTTGGACATCTTGTAAAGATGTGAACGAGCGTATAGACAAAAGCTCTACGTGCAGTGGGCAGAAGCTCTCACTGGCTGAAGCGCTACGGCGGTCTGTAGAAAATTGATCTCAAGGAATCTGGTCTGGCCAGGTCGGCGTGGACACGCCCCCCACGATTGTACATGGACATGTTCTCATGCAGGCTGTGTGGCCAAATTGTTGCTCCTTGGTCCCCCGCGAAATGCCAAAAGGAAGAAGGGCTTAGTTAAGACAGTGAGCTTTGGAACGGGTCCCCAGATAGAGCAGAATCTAAGGGTAGGTGCCTTATATGTCCCTCTTTGTTTTGTGGGAGGCAAGCAGGGAACTAGAAGCCTGTGAAGATTTCAGTAGGGAACTTGCATCATGTTAGCAATGGAGCGCCAGATAGGCTTGAGCCAATAGGCAACTGCGTGGCCTGTCTTATGGCTTAGAAACGGGAGATAGACGCAGCCTGTCAACTTGGAAGTTCCGGTAAATAATATATTACAGGAGATCGGTGAAGGGAGAGTTTCTACATTGGATCGTGCGCTTTGGTTGGCGAAGCTAGCTTGCTCAGGGTGCCTTGACTTTCGCAATTTGGCTGGTCATAGAGAGGTTTGTGGCGGCTCGATGCGACGCCGCAGAGTAAAGGCGTGGTGTCGAAGCCATCCGCGCAGCGAGCCTTGAAGTGGGAGAACGTTTCTTTGTCAAGTGGAAAGACATCAAGCTTGCGCACGTTTCCTTGTTGGTTTTCGCATGACGGATAGGCCTCGACCGGGGAGGAGATAGCTTTGCTTGCGGCCGTGCCGAACTGCTTGTGGGCGCGCGCCAAGGCCAAGCTAGAGCACCTTTGGAACTACGCCCCGCAGACGCACCCAGGAGCATATTTGACCAAAGCGTTCGACCCGCAACGAGTGCTGCGGAACACAGGCTTACGTCTCTCCCGGGGTGCAGCAAAGGACTTCCTGCTACACCGTCTTTCGAAGCGAGGACGACGTCCTAACCTGAAGGCCGGTGCTCGCTGGCGCGCCAAGCGCGTACTCATGGGAGTCCGTGGACACGGCCTTGGATGTCTGGATCCTAGAG